TTAATGGTGCATTTGTACATCCAAGAGCAAGATGGCTTGAACAGGGAGAGAAGAATACATCATACTTTTTCGGACTAGAAAAACAAAGACAAAGCAAAAAAAGAATAAATAAACTGAAGAAGAATGATATTATTATTGAAGATCCAAATCAGATACATCAAGAAATATGGAAGTTCTATAATAATCTTTACAAATCAAATTTCAAAAGAGTAGAATGTGATCTTCTTTTTGAAACAACAAAGATAAACATTAAAACACTGGATCAGGAGGATAAGGAGTATTTAGACGAAGACCTAACAATAACAGAAATTGAAAAGGCACTAAAACAGATGAAAAATGGTGAATCCCCAGGAATTGACGGGTTAACATCAGAATTCTATAAACATTTCTGGAATGATATTAAAGAACTGCTATACAAAGCCCTTTCAGAGTTTATAAGAAAAGGTAGTTTATCTCCTACAATGAAAACAGGATTGATAACCCTTCTTTCTAAACCCAATAAGGACGTTCTGAAACTTGATAACTCTTCTGTGTAATGATTACAAACTGTTAGCTGTGGTGTATGCAAATCGACTTAAACAGGTTCTTGCCAAATTGGTTGAGTTTCAGTCAGCTTTCATCAAAGGTAGGCATATTCATAATAATGTGAGACTAATATTGGATACGCCTGACTACCAATCTCTCCTAGAATCGGACAGTCTCATTTTATTTATTGATTTTTTTTAAAGCCTTTGATTCCATAGAACATGCCTTTTTATTACAAACACTAAAAAACTTTGGATTTGGAGATAAAAATTATTGAAATGTTCTACAATGATATAATCAGTTATATTTCTTTGAATCCAGGACTGACCCCTAGAATAAAAGTGTCTCGAGGAATAAGACAAGGGTGTCCAATATCACCAAAACTCTTCATTTTAAGGACTCAGATATTGGCCTACCTAACTGTAAATCATCCAGAATTTAAAGGGATTAAGGTTTTTGAGTATGAATTTCATTTAAGTCAATTTGCAGATGATACGGTATTCTTCTTAAAGGATAAGTCAATATTTGGGAAAGCTTTAAACATAATGTAAATCTTCTCCGGGGCATCAGGCTTAAATATAAATCTAAACAAATTTGAATTACTACCACTGTACCAGTGCTCAGACAAACATATATCATCCATCCCCGTTAAACATGAAGTTAAATACCTAGGCATAAACTTAATAAAAGAAATAAAAGAAAGAGAAAAAAGTAATATAAACGAAAAATTTAAATAATATGAAAAAAAAATTAAATCATTGGTTGATGAGAGATCTGTATATTTTTGGTTGAAATATGCTGTCCAAATCTGAGGGTATCTCAAAATTGGTTTATCCATGCCAAGCTTTGTATAGCTCTCCCCAAAACATCAAAAAAGCGAATTCTGTAATATATCATTTATATGGCGAAACAAAATGCACTATATAAAAAATCACAACTGGTCAGAGAAAATAACAAAGGAGGTCTGACAACACTAGACTTTGAATCAATGGTAGGAGTGTTTGGAATAAATTGGATCAAAGCCTTTATGTCACATACTGACTCAATTTGGTTTCATGTCCTCAGAATCATATTTAAGAAAATGGGAGGGTTAGAATTTTTGCTAAAATGTGACTTTGAAGTTAATAAACTACCTGTGAAGGTGTCAGAATTCCACAATCAAGTACTATTCTACTGGAAGATGATATTTTCCCACAATTTTACTCCACATGGCTCCACCTTGTGGAACAACAGAACAATCACTATTAATAGGAAAACCTTATTTAACCCATTTTGGTATGACAAAAATATTATTTTTGTAACAGACCTGATGGATGACAGTGGCAAGATGCTTCAGTTTAATACATTTAAAGTCAAAATCCATTGCTCATACAAGAAATATAGCAAAATATGTAAAGTAATACCACTTCCTCTTGTGAACTTAATCCAAAACACACTCTTACTATCAAACGTACAAGTAGTCTTGCCAGAATTAAAGATCGGACAAATGCAAATCAGCAATAGGAAGTGCAACAATAAAGCTATTCGCATAGCCTTCACCCATACATTTTTTTATGATTATGCAAAAAAAGCAAATATTAAAACAATAGATAATAAACTAATAATCATAGATAAATATTTAAAATACCTGAAATCGCCGATTTCTCCAAAAATAAAAGAAATGCAATTTAAAATTATTAATGGGTATTATCCAGCCGCCCAGAAACATTGCGAAAAAGATTCAGATTTGAGGTTGACCTCTGTTGTTTCTGTCTGGTGGAGCCAGAAACTACTGAACATCTTTTCTTTTCGTGTCAAATTACATTACAGTTCTGGCAAAACGTGAAAGACTGGATTAATGTCAGAATAAAGAACATAAATAACTTTAAAGCACAGCAGATTTTACTATACAACGATAACCTGTCCAAGGATATATGTGAGATGGTTAACATTATCATAATTATGGGAAAATATCACATTCACGCATGCAAGTGGAAGAAGCAAAAACCTATGTTGAATTGTTTCAGGAATGAATATAAGAAATATTTATCTTCCCTACAAGTACTGTCGGATAAACACCAGCCAGTGCAAAAATTGTGTCACACTATGCTGCAATATTTAGTGTTTAATTAACGATAAACAGATACATATCACCTGGATTACCTCTGTTATAGGTCTGGAGTGATAACTGGTGTTCTCAGAACTCAATGTAACTTATCTGTAGTTATATACAAGCACCAATATGTCTACACTTGAGATAGTTTTTGTTTTCGTTTTCTCTGGTTGTTTATTGGAAAGGGGAAAAATCTACTACCTTTCGTAGGTGTAACAAGACTCTCAAAACTACAATGTATGACATAGTAAAGTTACGGTGACACGGAAGGAAGAGCTGAACAATAACTGTTGAATGAATGGAAATAATGTGCCTTAATGATAATTTCATAATTATCTATTTTTGTTTAAATTTTCTATTTTTTTGTGTCCTAAGTTGACCTAACATGTAAATTTACTATCACTAGTATTGTTGTTATTATTTTTAGTGGAGCCTTGCTGTTCTCTTATGTTTGTATGGTTTTGAAGAATGCAAATAACTTCCTGATGAGATTTTGTACAATTGTGAATCGTAAATAAAAAAATAAAATAAAAAAAACTGTCTATGGTACTATCTCTGATTTGGATCACACTATCTTGTTTCTTACGATCCGCCCTTTTCTGCTTCTGATTGGCTAGTAGTCCTTACCTGGGAACTGCTCATGTGCAACTCCCAACAAAGATTTTGTACAAGTAAGATGCATCACTCTGTAGCTCAAGAGCATAGCGTTCAACACACAGGGTGAAAAGAGGAGCTGCAGCAATGTAAATGCTCTGTACTTGTATAGCACCTTTCTACTCTTTTCGACCACTCAAAGCGCTTTTACACTACATCTGCATTCACACACTGAGCCTAAGTGCTCAAACAGAAACTAACATTCACTCACATTCATACACTGGCGGAACAGCCACCAGTGAATGAATGAACCGCCGACCTTCCGATTAACGGCCAACCCGCTCTACCTCCTGAGCCACAGCGGCCCCAATGTGCAGTATGAGAAAAATATGGTGTTTTTTGAAAATTAAACCATGTAAACCTGTTCTGGTACAACCCCTAATTAAGATTTTGAACTTGAAAGTCAGCACACCTCTTTAATATTGCTTAAAAAAATCACCCTTCCAGTCGAAACCCATGTCTGTACTTTAATATTTGTGGGGATCCTATGGCAATAATTAATTAGCTGTTTGGGGATTTGAACTCCTCACCTCTTGCCTCAGTTACACCAGTAACATTTTTTAAGGAATGGTCAAAATTGCATCAAAATAATTCCTACTAGAAAATTGGAGAGAACAGTCTTAATTTAGCAAACATTTGGGATGTAGGCCAACCCTTAATCTCTTCCACAGCGGTGCCAGCAGTGACTTTCCTTCTGCTTTTCAGCCATAAGAAGAACTACATAATGTTTCCCAAAAGGGATTCCTAAAGTAATTATCTGTGTTGCTGTTGTAAGTAATCACAATGTAAATAGTGTTATGACCCTGGGGTCATATTTTGTTTTCTGTTTTATCTCCCCCCTGCAATGTCAGCTGTTCTCCTCCCTTAGAGTGTGTGTATGCAGGTAATGGAGAACAGGTGGGCACACTGGATTGGTCCTGCAGAGCTGATTGGAGTCTCCTGATTGGTCACCTGGATGACAGCAGCTATCTTAAGCCCCACTGACAGGAACTCCTCTCTCTCTCTCTGCCATTCCCAACCTGAGCCTGTGTACTGAGTGTTATGTCTGTTAGTCATGAGTAGAGCACTGTTGTGATTAGATGAGACTTTGTAAGTGAATCTGTGTAGCTTAGCTCTGTAATTCTGATTGTCGTTGACAACCTTGTTTTGTTGGCTATAGCCATTTTTGTTGTTATACAGATATTTCTTTGTTGTGTAGGAGTAAGAAGCCCTTTTTGTTTGCACCCTTTTTCTCCTGTTTTTGAGATTAGAAGCCTAGTTTTGAGCTTTTCTTTACTTTCTGTTTTTGGTTTAGGAAAGTTTTAGTTTTCTGAGATTGTTTTGGTTGTTGTTGTTGTTGTTGTTGTTGTTTTGGGCACTGGTCATCTCTGAAGCTAATAAAACTGCTAAATTGTATTTCCTGTGTTCTGGCCCTGTTTGGGAACGGGAGGAGTGGGAAGCCACATCTTTATGTTACATCCAAGACAACCCTAGACCTTAGGACGTAACAATAGGTCAACACGTTGATCATGAAATTGGTATATATAATATGTTGATATTAGAATTAAATTTGACCAGGAACACCCCTATGTGCTGTAGGTGCAGTGTACTTAAACAGTTACCACCCTTGTTATTGTTTCAGTATCATGTGCTTAAGCTGCTCTAGAAAATAACCACAATGTTTTTTTTAACATTGTTTAACGAACTGTTTAACATTTATTCAAGGCTGTGGCAATAGCTAAAACAATTCACAACATAAATTAGTCCGTGTCCTGTGATCAGTGCATGACATGCAAGCTAAGGAACCAAAGCACCCAGAAAAGATATATAAGGACTGAGTTCCCTTTTCCTAGACATCCTGCTACCTGCTACTGCAACTTCATCTGATCATCACTACAAGGTAACGTTTTATTTCTTGCCTTTCCCCACAGCACCAGCTTCAACCAGATGCGTTTGACAATGATAAATGTAGAAATAAGACTTGACTTGCCCTGACTTAGTAGTAGTTCTTCCAGTGCTACATTTCTATGAAACTTGTCCCACATATTTGTATATCTCAAAAGTGTTACTTTTCATTTCCCAACTCTTGGCACAGAGAACAGGTAAATTCTTAAGCAATAGCTCACGACAGGCCGTGGTAAACGCTTATTATTTCACAGTTAAGGGGTGTTTTTCAGCCTGACGTGAAGCTCACAGCCTGTCGTGAGCTCTTGCTTCAGTGTTTTTGTCCGTTTTCATCTCTTTTGAGTAATCTAACGTTACTTTCTAAAGTTACTTTGTGCTGAGTGACAAACTTACACCACTACTATGAACCAATCAGATCGCTTGACTGAGCTACCCGTTTTATAACTGTGAATTAACTTCTCTAATGTCTTTACGCAGATGGCCTCAGGTCTTCATTTCATTGGGCTCCTCTGTATGACCAGTGGGCTGTGGATTGGAGCAAATGTAAGTAGAGTTTTTAATACATTTGTTTTATTTATAACAGCTATATTAAACCCTTGTGTTTTTTTAACATTATTAATATATCAGCAGCAGCAGTGTGACATTCTCACTTTCTGTCCCTATTTTCTTCACATTAATTACCAGTGCAACAAGAGGTAGTGACCCATACAGATTCGGGGGGGCTTGTTTTATTGAAAACACGGCAAAATCCTAATTTAGTCTATTAAATTAAGTGATCTGAGTGGTAGTAAAGCATAAAGGAGGTACTCCACCCTGCTTTACGTTATGTGATCAAATGGCAATGTTCCAGCAAGCAGGTTCAGTAATGATATTTACCCTCTTACATTTGTAATCAAGGACTTGAATGAGGGTTTTATGCTGATATGGTTTCAGATTTGATGGGAGAAGGATACTGTACTAAAAGAAGCTGTCAGTTCAGGTTTGTTTATAGTGTGCCAATTTATAACAAAAGTTCTCACATTTCCTATAGAGCAGGTCTGGACCTTACTCTTTGTAATATTATCTGCACAGACGAAACAATTCCCAACATGAGCAAGCAGGTGATGGAGGCAAGGAAACACTCTGTTTAAGGAGGCAGAGAAACCTTGAACAGAACCATGATTCAGGGTGAGCGGTCCCCGGTTGGTGGCGAGAGAGCGAGTGAGGGCGGGGAGGAGCCAATGCAATATCCACACAGAAATGCAAACAACAAAATTAACTATCGTAGCAGGAACATGGAGGCAGCAGGTGACTCGCAGCCACAGATCCAGACTCCACAGCTCCAGAGCCAGAAACAACTGCTAAAAGTGACAGGAGGAGAGAGGAGCGGTATGAGAAAGCACAAGACTATAGGAAAGGATGAAGTTGAGTTAGTAATATGCATTAATGGGAAGAGGTTGCATACAAGTCCCCCTGCAGTCTAGGCCAATAGCAGCATAACTAAGGGATGGTTCAGGACTCACTTGAGCCAGCCCTAACTTCTAGCTTTGTCAAATGATGAATGTGGTAAAAAGCAGACTGTCAAATGAGACTGTATGGTTGATGTTGCTCCACTCGTTTCTGCTGCCTCACATAGGTTGTAGCGAGAAGGCAATTCCTCAGATTTGTGGTGCTTGTAGAGTAAAGCAGCTGCTTTTCACAGTCGGCAAACAGCCTTTTTTTTGTTGGTAGTATTGTAGTAGAACCCAAAGCACTTCTCAGAGGGTTCAGTGTCCTCATTTATCAGCACGGCTTTGCTGGTTAGTGTCATTGCAAACTACCTCAAACAGTCTGTTTTTTATAGCTCAAATATTTTATGTTTTTTGCGACATTTGAATGAATTTCTATAAAGTGACAGCACCAATAGGCATGCAGTATCATACCAGTTGCTACACACATCTAAAGCTACAAAAAAGGAAAACTCTCAGTTGAACAGTATTCATTTCTAATCAGTGGCGTAAGTACTTTGGTGCAACTGGGGCAATGCACCGGGGCCCAGATAATTACAAGGGCCTGTGAGGGAAAGCTACAATTGGTTTGTGATCAGATGCCATCATCCATTCTTTCTTACTGTGTTTGCATAATGAGCAGCTTCTCCGGATCACTATTTGTTCGTATTGACACACTGTGTCAGCTACTTTGCGTTGATTTGTTACTTGCTAAAGCTGTATGATTTGCCTTTGGCCCTTCGGCTGCTGTCTGTGTTGCTGATCAGAGGCTGCAGGTTTGCATTTGGGTGGATTAGTTGTGTGTCTACACGCCTGTCTATACACAAACATTCTTTTTGGAGAGAAAAAATTGCACTGGGGCCAATCACAATTATGCTACACTGCTGTTTCTAATGCTGTGTTTTACATCCACAGGCGCAATGTGGAAAGAAATCAGGTTGGTGCTTATATATTATGGAAGTGATTGCTCGAAATAGATAGCTTGCACTGTGTGACCAAAATCAATGTAACTGCTGAGTTTTATTTGTTTTTTAACTAGTCTAACAACTCAAGTAGAAACAGTTTCCGCTCTATTTGAGTTCTTGTTCCTGCTTTACTAAATGGATGAAAGGGCCTAAGCTCATTTCCTTTGTTGTTTCTCAGTTTTGTATGATTTTGTAATAATCAGTTCCCAGATGCTGAGGTTTCTTGTAGACTTTAACTACAAACAAATTGGGGAAGACAGATTCAGGGTTCTTGTTTGTTGAACTCCTCAGTAAAATCAATAGGAGCTTTAAACCAACATTATCTAGTTTCACTTCTCTGTAATGTTTGCCATGCCAGTCAGATTAACTGATGATGGCATTATTGAGCAGCAACGATTAATCAATTGAAAGAATATGAACTGCCAACTTTTTTGAAAAGGGAGTAATTGTGGAAGTAGTTTGTCAAGCAAAATGCCAAACACTCGCTATTTTAAGGGTTTTAAGTTGACAATTCTTTATAGGTGATTGCCCTGCGACCTGCCCAACTGGTTGGATTCCTTTTGGCCAAAACTGCTTCCTGTTCCAGTTGGGTGAAATGGACTGGGCTACTGCAGAGGTACTTTATGAACAGTTCAAATCCCACCCTGTCTTTATTGGCATATCCTCTAAAACCAGCTTGCTGTTATAAGGCAGTCGAAGAAACCCTCATTTGTTAATATTTATTTATATGGCAATGTTTTTACAACTGTCTGATTGTAAAAGTAACGTTGTGTCCATGTGGTGGTGATGTGGGTTCAAACTCCTTGTCTTCCTCATCAGCGTTTCTGCACTTCTCTTGGTGGGAATCTGGCCTCCATTCAAACCCCAGAGGTGTACGCCTTCATCAGAGATCTGATTTTCAGATCGACTAACTCACAAAAAGCAACTTGGGTCGGAGGCTACGATGCAGCGAAGGTAAGTGTTTTATCAATAAACTTGATCTGTTTGGTAGTTTAAAAAAAGGCTGGCAGGTGTGATGTGGTTTACTAACACCTTTTTCATGAGCTTAATAATAATCAGTTAATCTCACTGAGATGTCTTTTGCAAGAGAGACCTAATAAAGCAATAAAGAAATAACTACAAAGAAAAGAAACAAAAGTAAAATATACAAGTGTGTATGTCTGAATACATACATAAATACATATAGTGTATAACCAAGTTTTATATTGGTTCTGTGTTTTCTGTTTTATTTTGTCAGTGTGTTGTATGCTTTACTTCCTGTTTTATTTTGTAGTGTTCTGCCTCTTGTGATGTCTTGCTTTGCTTTCTTGTCATTTGCATGCTCCTTTACTCTGTCGGTTTGTTAGTTTATGTCGTTGAGTATCTTTCCCTCGTTATGGATTTATTCTGTTATGTGTGGATTTATTCTTGAACTTTGAACCAGTTACATTTATGTTTGTACCTGTCTTGGTTTATTTCCTGGACTGCCTGCATCTTCTTTCATTTGTAAGATACCACCTGGAGTTAATAAACACCACTAACTGCATCTGCTCTTCTTAAGTGTCTGCATTTGGGTGTCTGAATTTGACAACCGTTAACAATTGCTTTGGAATGGTGACAGATATTTCTGCAGTGGGGATGTCCGCACTTTCTGCAGATAGAAAAAGTAAATTGACCCTTTATTTATTTTTTTCAGGAGGGTGTGTGGCTGTGGAGTGATGGTTCCAAGTGGGACTTCAAAGGCTGGGCAGCCGGGGAACCCAACAACGTTGGCAGAAATGAGAACTGCATGCACATTAACTTTGCAGGTACAAACTGATCTGCTGTTCTAATGACTGGAAGCATGTGTGACGAGGTGGAGCTGTGCTGGGTGTGCATGACTGCGTTAGACTCCTTCTGGCTCTGGTTGGATGTTTTGTTCAGGGGACGGTGGATTCTTGCAATTGGCATTACGAGCAGTAGAATGAGGCAGAAAAACCTGAATTTTTGTTTTCACAGATTATCTGTCTCATGTACCACTGTCATGATGTAGTGACAGTTTTACCAAATATGATAAAAGAATTCCCAACTGCATCTTTAACTAGTAAAAGGCAAACAATGTTATTGTAAACTTCGTATCAGAGGCCTCTAATGTGCTGTTATTGTATATATTTCTACAGGAAGAGATTATGTCAACGATTCCGACTGTGCTAGTAAGAATTCTGTTATTTGTGCCAAACGCCTGTGAAGATCTTCATCATGTGCTGACACATCTGCCCTGAGGATCTCAAGCCTTGATGACAGTGCTGGAAGACCAATTGACAGTTATGATTTTATTTCAGTTGAATCACTCAATAAATGTATCCTGTGCAGCAACCTGTCTCACCTCTTTGTAACTCCGTCTCATGCACCAAAGCTCAATATTTCTATAAAACAGTTTTTGAACATTAACTATCAATAGATTTTACTTCAGATTGTGATTTCATATCAGGAAAAAAAAAAAAAAAAAAAATATATATATATATATATATATATATATATATATATATATATATATATATATATATTGATTGATTGATGTTGTAAAACACCCGCGAACAGCAGTGCTTTAAGTTCTTGCTTGCACGTTTTCATTCCTTACAACAGTGTGCTTCATACTAGTGTTGTGGTCAAGACCGCCCAAACGGAGATCGAGAAAAGACCAAGACTTTTAGGGGCTGAGACCAAATCGAGACCAAGGCCGAGGGAGGGCGAGACCGAGTCAAGACCACAGGGTTGTGACGATTTCATCAGCTCCTCCTAAAGTCTTCATTTAAGTTGATTGTGTTATCAGTGTTTTGTTTTTTTTATTTATTGATAGGCTACATACATGGAATAACAGAGGTCCAGACCTCGGTGACCTCATTGATTGCATTTATTTTAGCTAGGTTTAAGATAAGAACACATGTTTTATATTTCTAACAACTTTCAAACATGTAGTCATTTTTAGCCAGGAGCAATGCTAGCACAGCTCTGCAAAAATGTAAATTTTATCAAATCCAAATCTAGTATCATCTCTGCTCATCATATGCGATCCTTTGGAATCTCTTATCAGTCCTGAAACATTAAGCTTAATCTTTCAACAATAAAGTTCTAGATAACGACATTAAACCTTGCACCATAATATATTAAATGATGATTAAATATGTATCTGACACCTAGAAACAACAGGTTATACTTTTTGCAACTTATTATGGAGAAGCCGCAGTATATGCTCAAAATGCAAAATTTTAAAGTTGTTCAAACACAAGAAGCTGATCAAGAAGAAGTAAACACAGGCTAAAAATGTGAAATATGTTTTTAAATAAAAAACTGTGATTAAAAAGTAACTAAAGAATATGAATTGAGCACAAACATTTCCAGCTTTTACCTGACCATTTCCAATACTCTGATATGTGATATGGAAAAAAAGAATTGAAACTCCAGGAGTTTGGGGAAAAGGGCAGGAAAAATCAAAAGGGTTGCCGAGCATGTGGTGCACATTTCAACGCCTAACTGGTTAACATGGGTGGTGAAAGGAGCAAAAGGGTGTAAGACCGCAAGAATAATTTTGTTTACTGTGTGTCTGAGTGAAAGCTGAACATGTTTGGTTTGAACTTGTCAGTCAGTGTATAATAATACTGCCTGTTGTAATATCCACACTTGTGGTCTTGAGGTTAGGTTGAAGTAACACTTCCTCAGACAGGCAGTAGGTCCTTTTAGATTGCCCTGTGTTTGTTTTATATATCACATCTACATCTAATTTACATCAAATCATTTCATTACATCTGTTGCCTGTCTGTCTAAACACACCTTTCCTGAGAAGACATAACTGACTTTAATACAACATAAATATTATTACAATATATTTGCACATCTCTGTCTGATACATGGTGGATTCAACATGAGCCTGTTTTACAGGAGCAACAGGCAGAGTGCAGCTGATCAGTTATAAACTTTAAACCAACTTCAGCTCAGTGCAGACTTTTGCTGAACAGTTTTCGAATTTAATATTATCGAAATCACAATGAGGCCAGATGCAATATTCAAATCGCTGGAGCTGCACTTTTGATAAAAACATGATAATAACATGTGTCACAACACACCATTAAAATGAAGCATCACGGTGCAACAGAGACACCCGGGCCTACAAATATTCTCCAGATGTAAGGGAACGTGCTCGTTTGGTTTAGACGCTGTGATGGCAAATCTTATTTTCAAATAAACACCTGAGGCAAGCATTTGTCTTTCTGTTTCTGGTTTTATTCAATCATCTGCTGATGGACTCACAGCAACACACATATGCTCTAATGAGTGAGGAGAGCTAAGTGAGCCTGTTATTTATCCAGCTTCAGGGTCATGCGTATCATCTCACATGTTGTCCTTGAAGTTTGGATAGCACAGAGAACACAGATGCTTTGACTGTTACGTTACACAGACTCTCAATCTTCTGTTAGACAATGTCACAGCTGCCCATGAAGAGCTCTGTCCTGGGCTGAACTCTGAGAAGACAAGTCGTGGCGAGAGAGGCCGAGGCCCCGGCGGGGACAGCGAGCCCTAGGCTCGTGCTTGTGGGTGTGGTGCGAGGGGCTTATAGTGCTTTCAGACCAAAAGCGAAGTGAATGTTCAGGGCGGTGAGTTTACATACAAAGTCAATGCAAAGACGCTTAGAGCCGCGATTTCCTATTGGGCGGCGCGAAGCGTTGGGACACGACGCGAAGGAGGCGGTGCCAGCGATGTGAAGCGTAAGCAACGCAAAGATTTTTGCGAGATTTTAATATTTTCAAATCAAGCGAGAAACTCGTGTGACACTGAGTTGTGATAGCCTGTCAGCGTTGAGATTGTCCATACGTCACCGTCGGTTTCAGAGCGTTGTGTGGAGAGGGCCAGGCAGAGCAGGGGATTGAAAATCTGCTGGCCGGCGGAGAGCTGCTAAACGTGGGGGAGAGGAGTCGGGAGCAGCGCTCCAGCTTTTGGACAAATAAACACCCGTGGTCGGACTGGATTCTTCTCTGACAAGTGCGCCGTTTGTTCGCGGGACATTGCTGGGAGAAAAGAAAGTGAGGAGGTGGAGGTTGAACTACCTGGTCAGTTCAGAAAACGTGTATGTAACTTTATTCCACACGCAAGGTTTTGCATTAAATATTCAACTACTTACTAACTTTAAGAAAGTAAAACTTCATATAGCACTCTCCAAAACACGGGTAATGATTCAGAAGTTCAAATTAAAGAAACAAAGAATGGAAACAACCCAAAAAGAAAATATAATACAATAATGTAAATTACACAAAATACAGTTTACAATGTAATGTAGGTTACACCACATCAGTTATAAACAATAATTTTCCATCTTGAATTTTAAAAAAAATCCCAAACAAGTGGACAACAGATCCATTTGTACCTGCAAAGTTAATGTGCATACAGTTTTCATTTCCGCCAGCGTTGTTGGGTTCCCCTGCAGCCCAGGCTTTGAAGTCCCACTTGGAACCATCACTCCACAGCCACACACCCTCCTGAAAGAAAAGGTTGTAAGGGTCAATTTACTATTTTCTAGCTATGCAGACAGTGCAGACATCCCCACTGCAGAGAAATCTGTCACCATTCCAAAACAACTGTAAACAGTTGTCAAACTCAGAGACAGGAAAAAGTGATTTAGGCCCAAATGAGACACCTAAGCAGAGTAGATGCAGTTAGTGGTGTTTATCAAATCCAGGTGATGGCAGCTTAAGGGCGGCTGTGGCTCAGGAGCTAGAGCGGGTTGACCGTTAGTCGGAAGGTCGGCAGTTCAATCCCCGGCTCCCCCTGGTTGCGTGTTGAAGTGTCCTTGGGCAAAATACTGAACACTGATATGCCCCTGGCGACTGTTCCGCCAGTGTATTCGGTTTGAGCACTTAGGCTCAGTGAATGAATGGTGAATACACATTTAGTGTAAAAGCGCTTTGAGTGGTTGAAAAGACTAGAAAGGCGCTATATGGAGCATTTACTTTTAAATTAAAGAAGATGCAGGCAAGATCCAGTGAAATAAATAAATCTAGAAGGATACAAAAAGAAATGGTTTAAAGTTCAAGGTTGACAGAAGAAATCCATAAAGGGGGAAAACACTCAATACATAATAACAATATAAACTAAGAAAGCAAAGTAAGATGGCATAACACTACAAAATAAAACAGGAAGTAAAGCACACAAAACACAAAAGGACAAATTTAACAAAATAAAACAGAAAACACAGAACCAATGAATAATTTAGTTATACACTGCATTTTAAGTCCAAAAATCAGTGGATTTGTTGCCATCTTGGTTATTGCGCAACACCTGGGAGCTGTGCCTGCCTTCTCTGGCCTTTTATCAGAGCAGGGGAAGTGCCGCTTTCGAACACACGGTCTTTTTTGCCATTTGCTGGCTGACCTGTAGGAGCTACATAGACATCCAAGGTATCAAATGAAAGATCTGCTCAATATCAAGACCGATGGATGCCCCCATCCCTGTGGGATGTTGCGTTCTCAAGCTACAGGCCTGTAAAGCAGGGGAGTGCTTTCGGTCACAGGAATGTTAATCAATAATCACTGTTTAATCAATATTTAAATGTTTTGGAAGCTTTGTGTTATTTGGAACGTGGTTGTTTGGACAGTAATAGTGTTTTAAAGATATTTGAAGAATGAAAGTCAACATTTAAACAGTATATATTGCCAAAATATTGACATTCGCTTGCTATATTTTTAAAATATTGTATGTTGACTGTTGTATTTTAGTTTATTTTCATCAAATTTGTAGTTACAATTGCATTCCAGGTGTATTAAAATTAATTCAAATATAGTTTTTTTTACCAGGCGAGGATGAAAAATATCATGTATTTTGCATCTCCGTGTAGTCTGTTATGGTAAAATAAATATGTTAATTTACAATGGATTTGTATTCCTTAGCTTCTGACCAGAATTATGCATTATTCTAATTAATTAGACCAAATGGTTGAGGAGTTATTCCTCATTAATTTTGGGTATGTTATTTTAGGCGTTTTTCCTGGAAAAGGGTGGCTGTCCCCAACAGGTTGTTAAAAACTACTGAACAATTACTCCATTTCCAAAAACAGTTCCTGCTCAAAAATGTAATAATAAATTAATCTAGTTGACATAACAAACATGTGAGAGGAGTGAAACTAGATAATGTTGGTTTAAAGCTCTCAATGATTTTTCTGAAGAGTTGAACAACATCAACGCTTCCCCAATTTGTTTGTAGTTACAGTCTGCAAGAAACCTCAGCATCTGGGAACAGATTAATACAAGATCATACAAATGGCAAAACTGAGAAACACAACCAAGCGAATGAGCTTAGGCCCTTTCATCCATTTAGTCAAACAACAAGAACTTTACTACAGCTGTAACTTTTGCTACTAGATTTTTTTTAACTTTGCAGTTGAACGTCGCAAAAACATTAAATAATAATTTAAGGAAAAGACTGGTTGAGGTAGTTTACCTTGACACAAACAAGCAATATCAAGCTGATCAAATAATCATGACACTGAAACACCTGAGAAGCACAGTGCAGAAGTACTTTCAGTTTAGAGAACTGAATCAACGAGAGGAGAGTTGGGCGATCTTATGTATGTGTTGGTGATTGGATTTGCAGGTGTTTGTGTAATGAGACACAGGTGGTTAATCAGTGAGGGGGAAAGAAGGAAGGCGTGGTCCTGTTCCTGAACCTCAGTTTACATAACTCCATCAAAAATAAGGCTGTTTGCTGACAGTAAAAAGCAGCTGCTTTAATCTACAACCACCACAAATCTCAAGAACACTTGAAATGACTTCATAGACTTATCATTTTGTCTTGTTTTCAATAAAACACCTATGAATCTGTATGGGTCACTAATTATTGTGAAGAAAAACCGAACAATAAAATAAGAATGTCACACTGCGATTAAATATTAATAACATCGGAAACGTTTCAAGGTTTAATATAGCTGTTATAATTAAAACAAATGTAAAAACTCTACTTACATTTGCTCCAATCCACAGCCCACCGGTCAAACAGAGGAGCCCAATGAAATGAAGAACTGATGCCATCAGTGTAAAGATATTAGAGAAGTTAATTCACTTTTGTAACATACAAATATGTGGGAGAAGTTTCATCGAAATGCGGCTTAATGCGATCTTATTTCTATATTTATCACTGGCAAGTAAGTCAAATATTAAATATAATCAAGAGTCTTTTCTGTAAAGCTGGTGCTGTGGTGAAAGGCAACAATTAAAACGTTACCTTGTAGTGATGATGAAGATGAAGTTGCAGTAGCAGGTAGCAGGATGTCTTGGAAAAGGGAGCTCTGTCCATATCTTTTCTGGCAGCTTTGGTTCCTTAAGTTACGTGTCATCCTCTGACAACAGGACACGGTCTAATTTTTTAATTAATATTGTTTTAGCTATTGCCACAGCCTTGAGTAAATAGTGATCAGTTTGTTTAACAATGTTAAAAAAAATATTCTGGTCATGTTAAGCACATGATACCGCAACAAAAACAAAGGTGTTACCTGTTACAGTACACTGGAGACACAGCTACACCTGTTAAATGTAATAGTCATATTAATATATCATCTGTATGTAATACAAAAAAAAATGCATTCAATTTTCTTATTATGATGTTAACAATATTTCAACATACAGCAGCAACACGGATAATTACTTTATTAATGCCTTTTGGGGAAAAAAACATTCCTTTTGAGAAAAATTTAAGGTAGTTCTTCTTCCGACTGAATCCCAAAAAATCAAAACTAAATTCAGTGACACAAGCAGTTGTACCACCATCGAGTAACTAAACTGACTACAAGACGTGACGTGCCAGGATCTGTCTGATCAAACAGGTGACAATGACTGGATCAATCATCAATCAACAGTATGTGATAACTTCACTGTAATTAATCACATATTTTAATGTCAGGTAATGAAGTTTGGAAAAGTAAAGACAAATGTAAGACAGAGATATTTCCCAGCTTCTGGTACAGGCCATGGTTTTCTCTCGCCTCGACTATTGCAATGCCCTCCTAGCAGGTCTTCCAGGTTGTGCGGTGAAACCCTTACAAATGGTCCAGAACGCAGCAGCGCGTCTGGTTTTTGATCAGCCCAAAAGAACGCATGTCACTCCACTGGGTGAACCATGGCCTCCCAAATCAAATTCAAGTCACTAACGCTTGCAGACAGAGCTACTACTGGGTCTGCACCCATCTACCTAAACTCCAAAATACAAGTTTACGTTCCATCTCGGGCCACTACGCTCCTCCAACGAACGCCGCCTGGCTCTGCCATCCCTTCACACAAAGCAATCCCAGTCCCGGCTGTTCTCATCTGTGACACCACGATGGTGGAACGAGCTACCACACGCCATCAGAGCAGGGGTGTCCCTCTCTAACTTCAAGAAGCTCTAGAAAACTCAGCTCTCCGAGAACACTTCCTCTTATAACACCTCTAACATGCACTTCCTGTCCTCTTCTTCTTCTATCCCCTCACAATTATCTTGTAATGATTGCAGTTTTTGTTAACTCTTATTTCTTTCCCTAGGTATCTACCCCATTGATGTGATATGTGCTATTAGCTCTCACTAGTATTTATTAGTGCTCTTACTAGTATGTATTGTCATTTGTAGATCTCATGCTGTAATTGATGCTTTGCTGATGTTGTTCCTCAAATGTAATTTTTGCTTTGGATAAAAGCGTCTGCCAATTGAATAAATGTAAAATGTAAATGTAAGCTTTCACTCATTGTAAAGAAGGGACTTGTTAAGAAAAGGTCACAGCACAAGCCGAGTAACATCAGGCAGAAGTTAGTTTTATAATTGCAGGACTCATTTTACCCAGCACCATCTGCACTGGGGCTGAATGAAATGCAAATATTTTTTAAAAATCATATTGTGATTATTACATCAGATATTGCAAGTAACAATTTTAGTTGAAATGTTCACTTTTGCGTTTCATTTACACAGTCAAAAATGAAAGAAGATGTGATTTCTGCTGGGGCATTTCTGCCCCACAGTGCTTCATTTATATAAACTGCACAATGGCATAACCCATTTTACCTTTATCAGAAAATTTCAGCTCATGTGATTTTAATATTGCACATGGCAATATTGTGATTTCAATAATATTTTGATAAAAAGTGCCTGAGTTGAAGTTAGTTATAAAGTGTATGACTGATCAGCTGCACTCATAAGCACACTGCCTGTCTCCTCTGAAAACAGACTGATCCAAATCCACCATGTATCACACAGACATGTGCAAATATATTGTAATAATTTATAGATTGTAATTTCTGTCAGTTCTCTCGACCTGTACAAGGTGTGTTTATTTGTATTATAGCTTTGATCATCAAGGAAATTCCTTGTGACTAAAATAAGACAGACAGGCATTAAGAAAATATGTAAAAGAAACACAAGGCAAAATAAACAGAAGATAGCCTACTGCCTGGTGGAGAGTAAACTCAAACTAATTTGCTCAAGACCAACTGTGTATACTGCAACTGGCAGTATTATCATACACTGACTGACAAGTTCAAAGTAAAGATGTTCAGCCATCACTCATACAGACTTATTTTGTACACTTCTTTAGTTACTTTTTAATCTTTTAATTTGATTTAAAAACATGTTTTGCTGTATTTAATTCTTCATGTTCAGCTGCTTCATTAACATTAACGTTTGAGAAGGTTGGCGTCTGACAAGCACGTTTGCAGTATATCAGAATCAGAAATACTTTATCGATCCCTGATGGGAAATTATTTAAAAGAATTGGGGAAGGGGAAATTTGTTCTCTGCATTTAACCCATCCTAATAAGGAGCAGTGGGCTGCCATTGTGCAGCACTGGGGGAGCAGTTAGGGGTTCAGGGCTTTGCCTATGAGCACCTTCAGCAATGAGCCATGCTGGACTCATTCTGGCAGGCCACCTGTTACCAAGCCAAGTCCCAACAGCTAATGCTGCCCCAAATGTATGTACAGTAACTTGAAACTTAAAAAATAAGGTGCAGAAAGTACAAAGACTACACCTGTTATTTCAAGTTGTCAGACACTTTTTATAAATTATGGTGCAATGTTTGGCGAAGATATCTAGAACTTTTTTGTTGAAAGCTTAATGATAAAATATTAATAAGGGATTATAAAGGATTTTATATACTGAGGACAGTTGATACTAGATTTGGATTTGTTAAAAATGCTACTTTTCTGCACAGCTGGGATAACATAATGCTGTGTAATGTTGAAATGTTGTTAGAAATAGGAGTGTGCCCAAAAATCAGCAGTATGTCGTTATGCATTTTTTCATGATACTGTATCAATATTCCAGCTCATCATATAGATATTTGAAAAATTAAGGCTTTTACTGTTTGCTCAATGCTAACATATAGTGGGAACATATAGTGATAATATAATCTTAACATAAAGTACACATAATGCTTCACATGTTTAACTTCCTGAGTGACATGCTCTGCTAATACTTAAAGTACATATGTTTCCTGAGCTCTGTGTGAAATAAAAGCAGCTGCTAACTAGACTATCTTGATCTGCTACTCTGCTGCTTCAGCACTCCACACACACTAAGTACAGCCACCCAAAGGGTAAAAATGCAGCTACCAATAGGCGGAGAAAGGGCAGCACTATGCTGTGTCACTGAACAGTTATCAATATAATGTGTGTACATATTAGACTTAAGTTGTATACAGCAATTTGTATTTTCAGCTAAAAAAAATCAGTAAATTCAATGAATTTGCTTTTTTATGTGCCTTTTTATAAAGAAATGTTTTTACAATAACTTTTCATAGTTGCTCTGTAGTTCTGCAGAATTTTCACACTACTATAACTTTTTCACAGGCAATTTGCATTCATAGTTAGACAGATATCATGATATCACTTTAGGATTGTCTAGCGATATATGGATTATTGCAGAATTGCTATATCATGATATTATCGTTATCATGAGCCATGTATTGTGTATCCTATCCTGGGTACCTTGTAATTCCCACCCCTAATTAGAAATAGAAAATATACGATAATGAACAGGCAACCGAGTGTGTAAGTACACCTAAAACTAATGCAGTCTAAGACAACAGTTCTGCATTAAATCATTTCTTTATAGAGGTTATGATGTTCAGTTTTTGTTGAAACCATGTTTAGTTCATTTCATTTCGGTCCGTTGTGCAATAGTATTTTATAAATATGTACATATACTTACATATGTAAATTATAAGATGTAATTTGTGCATTATACTGTGTTTTATATACTGATCAATTGGTAAAAGAGGGAGAGGACCTGATGACAGTCTGGCTCCAACTCCAGGCTCTGGTCCACCTGCTCTTGTTAGACAGTCCAGTGCTCCCGGCGCCCTTCTTTCCTGCTCCCCCCTTTGAGTAGAGGCGGCACAGTGTGGTATGAACCCTTTTTAACCAGTTGCGAAGTGTTATCAGTGTGAGGTGTGGTCCAATTTTTGTGTGCCAAGTGTGTGAGCAGTGTGGAAATACTCACCAAGCTCAAAGGGGGAAAGATAAGAATCATTGTCACCTGTTTGATCAGACAGATCCTAGAAGGTCTTGAGGTCAGT